AACCTCTCTTAGCCCCACTTGTCTTATAAACAAAATGCAAATAATAACAGTACCTGCCTCACTGGGCTTGTCTGAAGCATTCCAGGAGACGCTGCACAGGAAAGGCCACATCTAGGAGGCCTGTGATATCAAATGGCCCCCCATTTTCTGTCCTTCAGAGCCTGATCACACGTCACCTGCCTGTGAGCTGCCCCTGTTCCCCCCTGTGGAAAATGAGTCACTTCTTTCTCTTTTCCTTTCCTCAGTGTTCCCAGTCTTCCTCTGTGGGACACACCTCCTAGGTGTCAGAAACATTGGGAGGGAATGTGTATAAATATTTCCAGAGCTATTAAAAAAAACAGGAGAAGTCTGTGTTAAATATTAAACAAAAGGAGATTTTTTATTTATTTTTTATTTTTTTATTTTTTTTGAGACAGAGCCTCAAGCTGTCGCCCTGGGTAGAGTGCTGTGCCGTCACAGCTCACTCCAACTCCTGGGCTTAAGCAATTCTCTTGCCTCAGCCTCCCAAGTAGCTGGACTATAGGCCCCCGCCACAACGCCTGGCTATTTTTTGGTTGCAGCTGTCATTGTTTGGCGGGCCCAGGCTGGATTTGAACCCGCCAGTTCAGGTGTCTGTGGCTGGTGCCTTAGCCGTTTGAGCCACAGGCGCCGAGCCAAAAGGAGATTTTTTAATGAAATAATTGTCAAAAGTTGACAAACTGTGAGAATTTTCTTAACCTACACCACACTGCCTGAATTACTATTTAGCCTGTAAGTGCAGAGCCCTGCGTTTTCCTTCATATTCATTTGGGGCTGGTACGTGGTAGGAACCTACAAAAGTGAGTAATGAAGTAATGAATAAATGAATCTCCATATTTGCTCTGACACATATAGTAGATTTTCAAAGTGCAAAATACTGAGGCCTGAACCTTGAACCCTTTGGAGGAAATGAGCAATGGAGACCAATTACAGACAGGAAAAATAGTAAGAGTAAGATGTCATTTACTCAGTGTAGTGGGATGAATTGTGCCCCCAAAGACATGTCTATGTCCTAACCTCTGGAGCCTGGGAGTGTGACCTCCTTTGGCAAAAAGGGGCCTTAATAGACATAATTGAGGATCTTTACGTTCAGGATCCTTAAATTAAAGCTTTCCAGATAAGATTGTTGGGATTACCCAGATGGGATCTAAATCCAACTGCTGTGTCCTTATAAGAATCAGAAAAGGGCTCGGCTCCTGTAGCTCAGCGATTAGGGTGCCAGCCACATACACTGGAGCTGGAGGGTTCAAATCTAGCCAGAGTCTGTCAAACGACAATGACAACTACAACCAAAAAAAAAAAAAAAAATAGCTGGGCATTGTGGTGGGTGCCTGTAATCCCAGCTACTTGGGAGGCTGAGGCAAGAGAATCGCTTAAGCCCCAGAGTTGGAGGTTGTTGTGAGCTGTGACGCCACAGCACTCTACCCAGTGTGACAGCTTGAAACTGTCTCAAAAAAAAAAAAAAACCAAAAAAACAAAACAAGAAACAGAAAAGGAGAAGAGCCAGACCCAGAGGAGAAGACCACATGAAGACAGAGGCAAAGATTGAAATGATGTGGCTACAAGCCAGGGGATGCCAGCAACCCCCAGAAGCTAGGAAGAGCCAAGGAAGGATTCTTTTGTAGGGAATGTGGCCCTGCCAACAATTTACTTTTTTTTTTTTTTTTTTTGTAGAGACAGAGTCTCACTTTATCAGCCTCAGTAGAGTGGTAGAGTGCTGTGGCGTCACACAACTCACAGCAACCTCCAGCTCTTGGGCATAGAAGATTCTCTTGCTTCAGCCTCCCGAGTAGCTGGGACTACAGGCACCCGCCACAACACCTGGCTATTTTTTTGTTGCAGTTTGGCAGGGGCTGGGTTTGAACCTGCCACCCTCGGTATATGGGGCCAGGGCCCTACCCACTGAGCCATAGGTGCTGCCCCCAACAATTTACTTTTGAGTATACAGCTTCTAGAACGGTGAAAGAGTAAATTTCTGTTGTATGAAGCCCCTGAGTTTGTGGTACTTTGTTATGCCAGTGTAGGAATCTAATACAGCTGTTTCAACACAGACCTAAGTAATTGTAGAGACTTTATGCCCTGCCAACCCTAAGATATTCACTCTTTGGCTCTTTACAAAAAGTGATTGCCAGCCAAGTGCAGTGCTCATGCCTGTAGTCCTAACACTCTGTGAGGCCGAGGCAGGTAGATTGCTTGAGTTTAGGAGTTAGAGACCCCCCTGGGCAAGAGCGAGACCCCGTCTCTAAAAATAGCCGGGTATTGTGGCAAGTACCTTAGTCCCAGCTACTCAGGCGGTTGTTGTGAGCTATGACACCATGGCACTCTACCCAGGGTGAGAAAGTGAAACCCTGCCTCAAAAAACAAACAAAAGAAGTGATTGCCAACCTCTGATGGAGAGCACCACCTTTATTTGTATGTTGGAGATAGCATACCACTATGGCTGCCAGGGAGAAAATAAATCATCTTGTTAGCAGTACCCCATTTTATAGATGGAGAGATTGAAACAAAAAGAAGTTAAGAGCCTTATCCACATGAGGTGGCCACCTGTCATTTCTCTGTGCCAAAATATCTTGCTCCATGTTTTCCTCCAACCTCAGCACCATGAGTTTCCTTGGGGGTCACCCCTCCTCCACAATTCCCACAGTTTCAAAAGAGCTGACCCCACCTCTTGGTTTTAGGCTTGGGTACCAACTGTATTAATCAGTTTAGGCTGCCTTAATACCACAAATGAGGTGGCTTAAACAAGCGAAATTTATTTTCTCAAAGTTCTAGAGGCTAAAAAGTCCAGAAATTAAGGTCTAGTAGGATCTGTCTTCTGCTGAGGGCTTTCTCCCTGGCTTGCAGGGGGCCACCTCCTTTCTGCGTCCTCACATAGCCTTTCTCTGTTGCAAACACATGGAGAAAGAGATCTCTCTTCCTCTTGTAAGGTCACCAATCCTATTGGACTAGGATCCTTCCTTTATGATTTCATTTACCTTTAATTACTAACTAAAAACTCTGTCTCCAAATACAGTCCCATTGAGGATTTAGATTTCAACATATGGATTTGGGGAGTCATGGGGGACACAACCCAGAAAAGTCTAATCAGTGCATTTTCTAACTTAGTCACTTTTAGCATATGACCCAAGGCTATCCCAAGGCATGGTGTTTGCTGCAATTTTCAGGAAAGTAAGTCCCTCTTGTTCTCCACACTGCAGAGACCAGGGCAGCCAGGGCATATGGAAAGGACCTGCCAGAGAGGTACAGCCCACTTATATGAAAGCAGAGCTAAGTAGTGGAGAGAGAACAGGTCTGTACAGCATTGCAGCACCTAGATCCAGCTGTACCTGACAGCACTGTAGCACCTAGATCCAGCCGTACCTGACAGCATTGCAGCACCTAGATCCAGCTGTACCTGACAGCATTGCAGCACCTAGATCCAGCTATACCTGAAATAGAGCCCTTAAGGACTTCTCATGTAACATGATACAGTAAATTCTTCTTTTTTTTGCTTAAGCCAGTTCGTGCTGTTTTTCTGTCACTTGAAACTTGAAGAATCTTGACTAATAGACTATGGTCTCATAATCAATAGATGGGATCTAAAGCAGATCTGCTTAGCTCTCGGAGGCCCAATCCAGGATTACTTGGGAGTAGCCTAAGAGCCATCTTCTGAGTCCTGGTTGCCAGAAATTTTTAATCCATTCACCCTTGCTCTCCTTAAACAGCAGTAGGAGCAAGGAACATACAATGAGTGTGAAAGAACACAGATAATTATTTAAATAAATCCAGATTATCTCAGAGAGTGCTCCTTGTTATGAAACCAAACAGGCTTCTCCGGACTGAGGTTCCTGCATAGGCCCTGATAAAGGAGCCAGAAAAAATTCCCCGAGATGAGGAAGGGACATTCCTTGGTCCCTGGGAGTCCTGCCCGCTGGCTTCTTTGGGTTCAAATGCCTGGGTTCAAGGCACAGCTCTGCACAGTCCGTGTGACCTTTGGCGGGCAGCTGAAGCGGACTGTGCCTCAGTGTTCCCTGCTAGGAAAATAACAACATCCATTTACAGGATGACTCAAGACGAGTGAACGTGTACACGTAATCAAAGCAGTGCGCGCACGCAGGTGCTCTGTAAAACTAGTATTATTCCCAAGGCAGGTTCCTCCTCCTCCAGGTCTGAGACCAAATGTCACCCCACAGTGATCCTCTGCCTCCCTTGGGTCAGCCCCCACCTTGTCACTGGCTCGTACGGTTTTGTTTCTTCAGAGCATTTTCTCTCTCAGGGGTCCTTCCTGAGACAGTCTCACTCTGTAGCCCTTGGTAGAGTGCTGTGGTGTCATAACTCACAGCAACCTCAAATTCTTGGGCTCAAGGGATCCTCTTGTCTCAACCTCCCAAGTAGCTCGGACTACAGACACCCGCCACATCGCCCGGCTGGTTTTTCTATTTTTAGTAGCGACAAGGGCTCACTCTTGCTTAGGTTGGTCTTGAACTCCTGAGCTTGAGCAATCCACCCACCTCAGCCTCCCAGAGTGCTAGGATTACCGGCACGAGCCACCGCGCCCACCTAAGGATCCTTTCTTTTTTAATTCCCTTTTTACAAGACGATTTCCCCAGCACCGTGTCTCCTCCCCGGCACAGAGTAGGTGCTCAGTGAATGTTGGTTTGAAGACTATTCAGCGGCAGCGGGCAGGGGCTACTTCCTTCCCAGGGCCTGCCACGCCACCACGGCTGGTGGGGGCGGGGAGGGTTGGGCAGGCTGGCCGTGCGCACTCTCCTTTCCAACTTCCCAGTGTAACTTCAGCGGAGCACAACTCCAGAAGCTCCCTGCATGAGGCCACCGCCCGGATCCCAGGCCTTCTCAGTTGTGCCTTCGGGGCGGGAGAATGGGGGTGGCCCACGGGAGGCCAGTCCCAAGCGCCTCCTGAACTCCCTCCCGCCGCCCCGCCTCGCTTTAAGGAGGAGGCCAGGGAGGAGACCGACCCCGCCCGCCCGCCCTCCCAGCGCTCCGCTCCAGACTTCGGCATTTCCTCCCGGCTTAGCTGGCGTGGCCTCGCCTCCCCTCGGAAGAGGAAGCTCCCGGGGTCTGAGTAACGGGAACAAGCGCGGAGGGGAGCGGCCTGAGAGCCAGGAGGGCCGCCCAGGGTAGGAGACGAGCCAGGCTGGGCCAGAAGCTGGCCGAGGGCGGTGCGCCGGGACTCCGGGCAGGGAGGGCGGCCCGGCCGGACGCAGAGCGCAGCCGGCGCAGGGCGCGGTCCGGGACCGGAGAGTGCAGGGCGGGCCGCAGCTGGAAGGAACACTTGAGCTGGAAGAGGAGGCCGAGCTGGAAGGCGGCTGCCCCCGGCCCTGCGAGGGGGAAGCCGCCACCGAGGCGAAGGAGACGGGGACAGAAGAGCTGCTTGCGCGCTGCGCGCATGCTGGGCCTGGGGCGCCTCCGGGGCTCGCGCCCTGGGCTGCTCCACCACCGCGGCCCCGGGCGCCCGGTATGTCGGTGCACTATACGCTCAATCTGCGCGTCTTCTGGCCCCTGGTGACCGGCCTATGCACCGCCCTCGTGTGCCTCTACTACATCCTGCGAGGAAGCGGGGACGCTCGGGCAGAGCCCCCCGACGGCGCGGACGGTGGCTTCCCGTTGCTCAAGGCGGCCGCCCTGCTCTTCCTCGGCTATGTCCTCCTGCGCTGTCGCCATGCAGTCCGGCAGCGCTTCCTGCCGGCTTCTCCCCGCTTGGGAGACCGCTCCACCTTCTCCCGGAGACCTTTCCAAGAGCCAGGACTCAGCATCTTGCTGGAGAGTTACTACGAGCACGAGGTGCGCCTGTCTCCGCACGTGCTAGGGCACAGCAAGGCGCACGTGAGCCGGATCGTAGGTGAGCTGGTGCGGGCTGGCCGCACCCGGGGGTCCTCAGGCCCCATCCCAGGGGGAGCGCTGGCCTTGGCCTTCCGTGGAGACTTCATCCAGGTGGGCAGCGCCTATGAGCAGCATAAAATCCGCCGGCCCGACGGCTTCGACGTGCTGGTGCCACTGCGCCTCCCGCCGCTGGTGGCGCTGGATCCACGGAGTCTGGGCGCGGAGCCAGAGTTGGCCCCGGCCTTCCGTAGCTGCTTCGTTTGTGCCCTCAAGGCTCCGCCCTCGCCATCGCCCTCTGGGTCTTCAGGAGGCCACTGGCTTCGGGAATGCAAACCCTTCTCTGATGGTTTCTGCCTGGATGTGCGCGGGCGGCGCCACCTCTCTGCCACTCTGGTGTTGCGCTGGTTCCAGTCACACTTGCAGCGCTCCCTGGCCACTGTGCGCTACAGCCTGGAGGGGCGCTGTCGGGTCAGCCTGACCCCCGGTGGCCTGGAGCAGCCCCCTACTTTACACATCTTGCCCTGCCGAACGGACTACGGGTGCTGCCGCCTTTCTATGGCGGTGCGTCTCATCCCTGCAGTCCACGTGGGAGATGGAGTCTTCCTTGTGGCACCACCACTGCCACCCTTACCCACTGGGCCCCTGTCGGAGCTCCCTGGGGGCCTGCGCATGGAGGTACTGTGGGGTGTGAACACAGCGCGCCAGGAGCAGAGGCTGCTGAGCTGGCTGCAGGAACGGGCTCCTCCAGGTGCCTGCTACCTCAAGTGTTTGCAGTTGCTAAAGGCTCTGCGGGACCTGGGTGCCCGTGGGCTGGACTTAACTGCGGCCACCCAATGGGGACGCATCCTGTCCTCATATGTGCTCAAGACGGTGCTGCTGGCAGTGCTGTTGCGCAAGGGGGGCTCTCCACAAGGCTGGGACGAGGCACACCTAGGCGAGTGTTTGGAAGAGCTGGTGCAGTTCCTCAGGGACTGCCTGTTACGACGTCAAACGCTCTTCCATTGTGTCCTGGGCCCTGGTGGGGCTGCTGCCGAGGTGGGCCCCCTTCCGAAGGTACTGCGTGAGGCCGCCCCAGTCGATCTTCTGGCCTCTTTTGACAGGCACTCCCGGGAACTTGCGGCAGCGCGGTTGCTGTCCACGTGGCGAAGGTTACCCCAGCTTCTCCGGGCCTACGGGGGTCCCCGCTACCTTGCCAGGTGCCCTCCACCCCGGAGTCAGCGCACCCAGGGGTTCCCTGAAGAGGAACCGTAAACCCTGACAGCACCCACCTGGCCAAATGCTCCTAAAACCTTTCCCACTGAGTGGGGGTGGGGATGGCCATGAAGCCAGTTAAATGCAAGATTGCAGAAGGTGTTAGAAAATTTGGAGGATGCCACAAGCTTTGGTGGCTCAAATGTCACCACTCCTGACAATCCTAAATAGTTAAGGCATGTTCTTCACAGCTACTAGTGTGTTCTGAGCAAGCAGTGGAAAGCTCTGGAAAGGCTCTGGGCAAGTTCTCCAAGTGCAGCCTCTAAGAGTTGGTCCAAATGTTGGTTTGTGTGGAATGATTTTGTAGAATAATCTAGCTTTTAGTCTGGTCCAGTGGAGGAAACAAAATCTAGCCACAGGAAAAGTTTCTTCTCTCAGTTTTTAGGTATAGATTTCTCCACCCAAAAACTTCTTAAAAAACTAATATTTTTGACTTAATTACTTGCTAGGTACTGGGCTTCCCATTGTCTTTGTATTTTTTAAAAAATCTGAATTTTTATGCACAACTGGAATTGAAGTTCTAGTCTAGAGGTTAGTGTTCTGAGGAACATAATTTCCACTATTCAAATTAATATTAATGTATTTTTCAAATAGTGCAATCACAGGTGTTTGACAGGATTGTCAAAAATCAAGTCACACGTGTCGAGAGGCAATCAAGAGCTGGTTCGAGACAGGTCCAGAGCAAATAGCACTTTATTTTGATCAATTCTCTCCTTTTGTGGTAATTGCTAGCACCAAGTGTTGCATCTTGAAAGGGAGGCCAGTTACAGTTAGCATTAAGAAAGGTGCAGCCTTGAAAGGCAGCCAGCATGTGGGCTTAACATCCCCGCAGGTACAAACTAGGATATATACCAGTCAGTCAACACCGGCTCATTGCCCGTCTTCTATGAGCCAGCCACAGTGCAAAGCAGCAGTAAAATACACATTCAAGACAGCACTGGTGAGGGCATAAAACATGTCAGGTCTGGAGAAAGATGTGTTTCAGGCTTTGCCTTTAAAGGTGCTTCTCCGGGGCTTGCTGCTGGCTGGAGGCAGAATTTTCTGTTGTTGTTTTAAGGCTATTTAGCAAACTCCTTTGCTGAGCTTAATGAACTAATGAAAAGGAAAAGCCTGCTGCAGGGCCTACCACATGGCGCTCTCAATGAATGCTAGTGATGGTTAGTGGTTGGAAGGTTCTTCTTCCTTGCCCTGGAAGCCTTATGTGGGCCCATGAGCTAACTTTGAGCTGTTGATTCACCACAGGGTTTACAGAACGTTTCACATACGGTTCAGTGTCTGAGGCTCCATGTTTGAAGATAGTTACTCTGTGGTTATTGAGCAGAGGAGTCAGCTTTCAGTAGCACTCTGCTTTTTTTTTTTTTTTCTCTTTGGGCATAAATGTCACCAGATTGGATATATTTTGTAGCCAGGAAGGGCTCATTCTGGAATCTTTCCTGTCCTCCCAAATTTCTAACAGCCCTCAGTTGCAGTTCAGAATAGTCCATCATCTTGGAAATGCAGCCAGTCCCAGCATTATTGGAATTTAAAAAAAAAAAAAACAGACATGTACTTCCTTAGACTCATGAAAGTATAACTTAAAAGACAGAAATAGCTATGTGAATAGAACCATTGTTTCTGAACTTTTTTTGAGGGGACTCCATAAGCCTTTCTTGGGAGGACTCGGTCATTGTGAATAAATGATTTATAGGGAATCTTTTTCATCAGAGCTGCAAGCTTCTTCTATGTTATATACCCTTTGCAACCTTGGACTGAAAGACAAACAGCTGCAAATGTGCTGTCTCTTTGATGTTTGGGGGACTGTACCCCACAAAGGTCATTCCTAGATTTAGAGATCAATGTTAGGTCATAAGGTACTACACTGAGCTAAGGGATCAGTCCAGCAGCTTCCTGCATAGAAACTGCACAGTGTTTTTTTAAATTAGTTTTTAAAATAAATGCAAGAGTAGATTTTTTATATATACATATATATTTTTTTTTCCATGCTTAGCCACAATTTACCCTGTACTCATTGGAGTGGGGGACAGTGAGGCTATTGGAGGGATTATAAAGCTTTAAAAGCCGAGTTTTTCCAAATATTTTTGAGTCAGCAGGTTCCTTTTTGAAAAAAATCTTAATAGTATTTGGAAGTATAAATCTGGTAACTTACTGTTCTTGTAGTTTTCTTGTTTTTGTTTTTTCCAGGTTACTTACTCAAAGCCTCATCCATCCTCAAGGTTTTTAAATTTTATTTTTTTTTAATTAATGGGGCATTGTATTTGTGAATTTTTAAAATATTAATGTTTTATTTAAATGCCATGCTGAGCAATTATTCTCTGTACATGGTAGCCAAAACTTAAGAGAGTTCGATCAATTTTGATCTATGTTTAGTAAGCCAAAACATGTACTGTGTACAAATGAAATAATATGGTGCATTAGCCAGGGTGTGATGGATGCCCAAGGCACTTAAATTAAGCTCCGTTCTGTATTTTATTTGGGCTCTGTCATGTTCTTCATCTGAAATGTACACACTTTCAGTGTATGCTTGGTACTGGAGAGTCATATATGCAAATATTCTCATACACAAAGGCGCCACAACGGCAACAAAAACCAGTTGTCCGGCCAGTGCCCGAAGAAAATCTTTTTGGGGAAGATGATTCAGCCGTACTGTGCCGAGACACCCTTCAGTAATACCCACTGACCGGTCTTGGGAGTCTTGCTGGAATTCCGTAGGCTGCTGAGAGGAGATGTTTTTTGCAGAATGAACCTGAAGCTGAAAGAAGGGGAAATTCGAATGAACCAAAAGAAATCAGAAGACTTCGAGAAGGAGGACTTGAGATGGAAGTGAAAGGAAGAGAGGGGAGAAGGGGAACTGAGGTGAAAATCCCATGAGGATGCAAGAGAGGTTTGGATTAGGAGACCTATACTTTTATGTATGTGCTGTTTCTAACCGGGGTTGCAAACTCAGCTGGCTGCAGGCCTAAGGGGGGAGGTAAATAAGGAAAGAAGTGGGAGGGGAGTGGGAACCGTGCCCACCTTAAAAAGGGCAGCTGTTGCTCGGCTCCAGGCAGAAAAAGGGGTGGGGGGAGAGGCTGGAAATTGGGGTTTTTTTTTCTTTTTGAAAAGTGAAACTTGCTGATTTTTAAACACATAAGCTTAAAACGTGCTGCACCGCGTGGTTGAGCCTGGGGGCCCCCAGTTTGCAACCCCTGCCTTGCACAGTTACCAACCCCAAATGTGTATAAGGTTCTATTTTTTGTTATGGATAGGGTAGTGGTATGTACAGTGGGAGTGTGATGTTTCACATCATCTTTCTCAGAGCTAAGTTTTATTATAAAAAAAAAAAACAAGAAAAAAAAATTAACATGGCCACAGATAACACTTAACTCGTAATTCCCAGAAAGCCCCTTGATCCTGGAGTTCATCTTTTGGAGTCAGAGCCTATATTTAACGAAGTTCTTGGCACTTCGTTCCTGGTGATTTGGGGTAAACTTGGCTCTGTTGGAGTTTGCAGATGAGTAATCAAGAAGGATTGCAGAATAACTTGTTATGGGTTTTTTTTTTGCATTGTATTTTTACATTAAAATAACTTTTTGGGGAGTGGTATCCTAGCCTGTACCTTTGCAATGATGGGTGAACACCAGAAAAAGTGCTGGGGAGGGAGAGGGCACACTTCTTAGGCTTATACCATCCCCATTTCTGAGAACACTGTTCTGATCAGACTTCATTCCTTAATGCATTTATCTCTTTCCAACTAAAATTGGCATCCTCGCACTCTAAAGGAATTAAACTCTTGTGCTTCCAAAGCATCTTGTTCAGCTTGGTGGAATAAGTCACGTTTCTCTGTAATGTAATGGCTTTTGACCTACTCACATACGGAGAAATTGTTACCTCCCTCTCCAGGGTCTGCAGAAAATGAATCTCATTAACATTTCCAGGGTCCCTCAAGAGGGAAAGGAGTTTAGTGTTATCATTGTGGTGTTTGTTAGTTTTTTAAAGAAACACTTATCTGTTACTTCCACACAGGACTTTTTTTTAATGCCTACTTAGCACATGATTGAGTGGAGATAGAGCAAGTATAAGGTGGTTGAAGGGGAAGAATGTAGGATCACGTCCACAAAGAGATTAAAATGTGCAGGTAAATCATATATACTGTAATCTGGTTTTTGAAGTTTAATATTTGGGAATATTTTTAGCAACTTTTGCTTTAAAAAGAAAAGTGCCTTGATTCAATTGCTTGACTTAAAACATTCCTATTTTATTGTTATTTTAAACAGCAAACTCTGTATTAGGATGCAGTCTGGTGACTGCAGTCATAACGTAAGTTTTGTTCCAATGATAGAGACCAAAGAGTTAATCAGATATGGTTCAGCTGCTACCATTGTGTGATTAAAAGGCATCTTAATCACACCAAATTTCCATGGCCCAGTCAAGGCCTGCCATTTGTTTTCTATTTCAGGTTGAAGTAAATTTGCACTTTTAATCATATGGGTCATTTGGGGACCTTGTTCTTTTATATTTGCTTTGTTAATAAAGAAACTTGTAGAAAGCTCTGGACTGAATGTCAGACTTGGGGAGGGCTCTCATCTTTCACTGTGCCTATACAAGCTGGTGGACACCTGGGGTTTATGGGGGTCTTTTCCTAGGCAGTCAAGCAAGGGATACACTACAGAATTCGCTCCATATACAGGTGGAAAAAAATGCCAGTCCATAGCCCTACCGCTGTGCACCCTGGGAGCCTGTCGTGGAGTCTTTCCCCATACCTAGAGGGCAGACCTTGCCTCTCCTGTCTGTCCCCCTCCCCACACCCAAACACCATTCAAGTCTTGGCCTGTGGCTCAAGAATTTTGTCCAGAAGTCTCTTAGGCCCTCAGGCCCTCTCTGAGTGGTAAACATTTGCTAATATGAAAAACCACCAGGTTTATCATGGGGTAGAATCTTGGAAACTGTAGGGTTGTTCAAAGCCTCAGGGCCAGGTGGAAGTTTAGGGAAACCTGCAGCCACAGGCTGATGAAATAGTAGTTCCATGGGATACTGGCCCAGGGGGAGAAAAGTTGGTGGAGCGTGTTTCTTTTAGTTTTTAGCAAATGATACTGTCCTAGGGCATCGACGACCTACACACAGAGGTGGGCAAGACAGACATGTCCTTTCTGTTAGGAGCTCACAAACTGTGAGGCAGATTAAAGAAGGCATTTCCATACAGTCTGGTGGGTACTGGGCAGGGGAAAATTTCTCAAGAGGGGAACCCCATGCAGGATTTTATACAAGGCTCCTGGGAAGAAGTGACATCTAAATGGAGATCCATGTCAGTGCAGCAGCTCACGCCTGTAATCCTGGCAGGAGGCTCCTTTGAGCTCAGAAGTTCAAGATCAACCTGGCAAAAGCAAGATTCTACTACAAACGGGAAAAAATTAGTGAAGTGTTGTGGGC